GGACGCTCTACAACTGAGCCAAAAGGAAATTCCCTCTGGCTCGAAGGTAGAAGGTGGCCTTAATACTATGTACAATTAAAACCTGCCACACTACTCCCCCCCTTTTAAATGTGTTCGCCCTCGAACACCACAACCCAGGTTATCACTTCCTGTCACCACATGGAAGACCACGGACATCATTTGTAAAAGGAAAGAGAATAGTGTGCTTCCATCGGGAACCGAACCCTCAATCTCCAGGTTCCTAGTCGGACGCTCTACAACTGAGCCAAAGGGAAATTCCATCTAGCTCGAAGCTAAAAGGTGACCTTAATCCTATGTATAATTAAACCCGCCATAAATGTATAGGACGATCTCCTCTCTAGGTCTTCTTTAGACCTTTTCAACTGAAATACGTGATGTTCTAATTGAGGCAGGATTTCCACAAGGCTGTATTTTTGGGCCACTTTTATTTCTTATATTTATTAATGCCATAGCAGATATTTTTGAATCAACGTCTCGTCTTTTTGCAGACGATACATCATTATTAAAGTCATCTTCATATTGTCTAGAAGTTCAAGATCTTTGAATAGAGACCTAGAGATCTAAAATACTTGGTCAAAAACATGGTTGGTTAATTTTAATCCCGCAAACAAAACCCAACGTATTGCTTATTTCTAATCCAATTAATATCGAGGAAGACCTAGATTTAGAACTTGATGGGAGAGGCTTAAACTTTACAGATTATCATAACAATTTAGGGGTAAATTTTAATTCGGATGCAAAGTAGGGGGATCGTGTCAATGGGATTTACACTTCTGTTATAAAAAAAATATTATGTCTTACGGATACTGAAACACTTATTTAGTTGAGATGCTCTTTTAATAATTTACAAGACTTTTATTTTACCTGTTTTAGAATATGCTTGTAAGTTGTGGGACGGTTGCGCTATTTTTGAATTGGAAAAGTTAGAAAAAGCCCAACGTGAAGCTGCTCGCATTATATTAGGTTTCCTTCATATGCCCCTAATAATACTTTATATTACGAAACTGGTCTTCAAACCTTATCTTATCGCAGAAAACGAAGGAAACTTCAACTATTGTATAAGATGCATAATAAATTAACTCTTGATGACTTTAATCATCTTTTGCCACCTTTATCCGTAGAAAATAACCGTTACGCTTTACGTAACAAATATAAATATAGGATTCCTTCTTTCAGACTGTCTCTTACTAACTCTTCTTTTATACCTTCTACTCTTCATTGTTGGAACAACTTAGAAAATTCGGTTCGTTCCCTGTCCTCTATAAATTTATTCAAATCCTGTGTAACATCAAATATTCATTCAAGTCTACCTATTTACACATGTGTACTTTAAAATCGGAAATCGTAAACTTAATATTATGCATACTAAGCTCCGACACCAGTGCAGTTCCCTTTATTATGACCTCTTTAGAGCTAACCTTGTTGAGAGTGCATCTTATAATTGTGGTCATCCTTGTGAGAATGTCTTTCACTATTTTTTGGAATGTCACATGCAATAATGTAATTTTAAAGGAAAATGAGGCCATTATCAGTGATCAAACAGAGGTCAGCAATGTTTTCAATAACTTTTATGTAAATGTTGCTTCTGATATTGGTACAGAAGATTCTTCTGATGAAACTATTTTAAAAGAGATTACGGCACACAATAATGATGAGTCAAAATTTTGTTTTAATCATGTCTCTCCTTTCGTGGTTGAAAAGGCTATCTCTAAGGTGAAGGCGAAGAAGGCCACCGGTATCGATGGCATATTTTCAAAACTAAGAGCCTGTTGTACTGACATCAGTGTGCCTATATATAGCTATGAGCGACATGATTTAACACTGTTTTGATAAAACAGAGTTCCCTTTTAGACTAAAGGAGGCACAGGTAGTTTCTGTTTTTAGGAAAAAAGATATTTTAGATAAACAAAACTACCGACCAGTCAGCATTTTATCTTGTATATAGAAAATATTTGAAAGAACCATGTGTGATCAACTGACTTCCTTTTTTACTAATGTTTTTCATCCTTTCCTTGCAGCCTTCCGACCAGGATTTTGGTGTCAATCCACCCTATTGCGATGTGTTGAGGATTGGCGTAGAGCCCTGGACAACCATGAGTATGTTGCCGCCATATATATATATACTAATGGACCTCTCCAAGGCTTTTGACTGTCTTCCTCATAACTTGTTGGTCGGGAAGCTTGAGGCCTATGGCCTAAGCAAAGCCTCAGTTAACCTGGTGTCCAGCTACCTGAGCAGCAGGAAGTAGCAGGTAAAATTTGGCTCCAAATGCGGTGATTAGCTGAAAGTGCTGAAGGGGTGCCCCAGGGTTCCATTGAGGACCCTTGCTTTTTAATGTATTTGTAAATGACATGTTTTATATGTGACATCCTGTAAAGTATATAAGTATGCAGACGACAACACTGTCAGTGAATCATATAAAGACCCAGATGTTTTAAAACATAAACATTGAAATTGACTGTCAAAATTTAATAGACTGGTTTAAATTAAACCAGATGAAAGCTAACCCTGATACCTTTCAGGCCATTTGTATAGGAAAACGTTCGGTAGATGCTATACAGTCTTTTAATATTGTAGAAATAGATATTGTTCCTGGCAGTGTTGTCAAACATTTTAGGGGTGAACTTTGATTCATTTTTAAACTTTGAAGCTCATATCTCTGAAATTTGTAGGAAAGCCTCAAGGCAATTGTCCATTTTAAAGCGAATTGAGAGGTTTTTTTAACCAAACAATGTAGACTTGTAATTTATAATTCTTTTATTGTTTCAAATGTTAACTACTAACCTTTAGTCTGGCACGCTTGTTCCATGAAGAGTGTCAGAAAGCTAGAATACGAGGATTTGGGTTGTGGGGTTTTTAAAATTATAAACAAAATGTCTCCTGAATATATTCATAACCTTGTAAATATTAAGATGTCTTATTATGACTTCAGAAAAGGAATACTGCAGAGGTGCCCAGGGTCAACACTATGAAGTATGGACATAACTCGTTTGCTTTTGAGGCCGCCCGGTGTGGAACAGTCTCCTAAATGACTTCCGAAAATTTAAAAACTTCAAAGAATTCAGGAGGCTGGTCCATTCCTGGGATGGCCCCATCTGCCTTTGAAATATCTGCAAAGAGTGATACTTCATACTGCGCCCTGGTTACCTCTGCCACCAGACATTTTGGAGTGTGTGATACTATTATTGTCTTATTTCATTTAGTTTATGTTTTATTTATTTTTTACATGTTTGCAGCATTTTATTTGTATTTTAATTCCAAACATTCTAAAATACATTTTTTTACAAAATTTAATAAATTTTGTTAATTGATTTCGGTATCATTATTTAATTCACACTATAATAGTGTATATTCTGTCAATTTTTATTATTTGCTATATTAACATTGTACGTATATTCCACTTCATAGTGTTTTAATCCTAAGTAATTCTTGTGTGATATACAAGTATTCATTCACTATGTCTTTTATTTACTTATTCTGAAAACTACTTACCTGTGATCACTTTTAATGCTTTTCATACATTAACGCTATTGTTATATATTTATTGTTTCAAAAGGGTCATATCCCATGGGCCTTTGTAGGTAGGGGAATTCCAAATCACTTAGTAACCTGGGATATGATACTTTCTTTGTCTCTGATAATTATTACTGCTTTTAAAAAAAAAAAGATATGATTATCTCCCTTTTCTTGTAATATAATGTGATATTGTTATTTTACATATGTTTGTCGCAATAATAGCTCTCAATAGCTAATGTTCATTGTCTACCTGTATGCGACGTTAAATAAAGTTTCATGTATATCTTGTATTTTGTTTATCACCTTTTTTTACAAACGAAAGACGTTTTCTGGTTCAAAATATAAATATTTTGAATGTTGCGTTAAAGTTAAAAAATAATTTTGTTTGGCAATTCACAATTTTCCGTGGACATTTAAAGTGTATATTGGGAGAAGGCGTTGATAAGTTGTTATAGCTTTTGCCTAATTCCTTGTCTACTTTTGGCAATAAATACGTTTAAAGTAAACCTGATAGAGGGATTTTTGAACACACGGTGAGTTTAATTCCAAAGAGTTTCGTGTTAGTATCAACTATCATCTTTGTTGCCGGTTACGTATACGTTGAACGTTTCGCGTTATTTTCTACAGAGATAAGGTCAATATATAGACTTTTGCCTATTTAATATATTCATGTAAAAAACAACAAAAATCACAAAAATCAACTGGAAACTTGACCCGGAATATGGGTCATTTTTCAAAGGCTACGGGTCAGCTTTCTACGGATGCCCGGGTACGATTTCTATGTTGAGTTGGATCTAGTTACAATCATGTAGTGATATAGTCAGTCCAAAATAACTATCTCTTTTCACAAATTTTTGATCGGACAGAGTTTTTAAAAAGGAGATAGTCAGGTATTTCATATTATGATATGACAGAAAATAGGACAAAACCTTCATAAGTCAATTCAATCCCAAGTGCAAAAAATTGTGGCTATAATCACGGACTTAGATAACATCTAATCTAATTCCGTGCTATAAGTACGTATTTAAGATTATTATTTTTTCTTTTGTTTGGGCAACAAGAGGAAAATAAAAAAAATTTATTCCTGTATCCCCCTGCAGTACTGATTAATATTCTCAGTCCATTTTAATTGTACTATCAGAGACATGTTATATATATATAAGGCTACCTTCAAACACAAGTACATGTATGCGACATACTATTATAATGAAGATAATTATATAAATGGGCGTCACAGTATAAAGTTGACTATACTTATATACAGTGTACTCTGACGCCCATTTACGGAAGAAGAAGAGGACCTGTGACGTGCTTTCGAAAGGAAACTGTTTTGTTTGTTTGTTAGAGTGTTTTTACGTCCGCTGCACAACCGAGTAGTTCGATTCTCCAACAGACGACAAGGAAAGCTGCACGCTTTAATTAATAATTGGATCCACCGCCAGGTGGCGCTAAAGCATATCCTTAAGGTCGATTTGCATATCATATAGGCACAGGTCACGGAAGCGTTTGAAAAAGGAAAGATGGCTACACAACCCCACAGTAAGAAAAGAGTGTGTTATTACTATGATGGTAAGTACCACTTACATTTATATTTTTTGCATTCTTGTTTAAGGTTTCAGTCCTGATTTACAAGAGAAATACTTATTTTTCGCGTTTGTTTACTTCTAACGGAACTTGATCATACCGGTGCCCCTTTGTGTGCCCGTAACATCGTGTTAGAGCTGAAGTCGTAAAACGTCTAATTTATTTTTAAAAAACGTCATTTTGTACATTTTATCACTCGAATTAATCTAAATAAGCTTTTTACTATAATTTATACAATCGCACGCATAAATGCTGCTAGATAACAATAAAAATCGCGTTTCAAACCTCTGAAGCTAAGCGCGAGTGAAAGAAAAAGTATGGCAGCCCAACTTTGGTCGTTGTTTGCGTACAATTTTGCAACTTCGTAAATAGTGATTTCTTAATCTGTTTTGGCGTGTTGAATTTTCTGACCGAGATATAAATAGCTTTTTATGGTTTTAAATGTATTGGATCAGTTATTTTTCGTGTTAATCTCCGTAAATTAGGTATTTGCCTTGTTACACTCAATATATTTGTATGGAAGCCCTGAAAAAATGGGGGTGACAATGGCTGTCCGTTTGAACCATTGCAGATTGATGTTAATAAAACATCATAGTTCTACGGGAAAACGAAGTGTTATTAATATTTAGAACAAGACTTTGCTCATTTTTCTTTGTGCATTGAAATAAAAATGCTAGCATTGATAACTAAATTAACAAAATAAATTAAAATCTATCTAAGATTAATGTTTTTTGGTAGTTTTTACCACAGACAAATCTAATTCCGTGTTTTTACTAAATAACTTTTTTCATTTAGTCCTCATTTTACTAGGGTCTAGCAGAAATAAAAATAAATCTATGACTGGGTCTATCTAAATGCAGTTTAAAAAAATATCACTGACATTGTCATGTCTAGATCTATATAAAATTTCTTATGAAACCTTGTAGGGAAATATTTTCATATTTTCTCTTCAATATTGTGAAGTGACAAGAGCTTTCCTAAAAGTACTGATAAACATTTAATATGCTTTAGAATGCTAGCCAAAAATACTATTTTTGTCTTTTTATTGTATTGATAAGTTCAATTTTATTTCTTGTTACATCAAATTAAATATATGGACTATGATCTGAATATAAAGGCAGATAATGTCTGCGTTCAGAATAAACTAAGTTAAATTAAATTTTGTGTTAATTTATAATACATATGACGCATAAAACAACAATTATGTTATGATTCGAAAAAATGTGATACAAGTGAATATTTAATATTAAGAGTTCTGTTGCCCACCCAGGAATGGCATTTATAGGAGTATGAAGAATGAACATGATTTTGAAATTTTCTGCCGCATAGATTACAAGAAATTCTTGGTTAAAAAATTGTATCACACTTTTCTTAGTTGTTGAGGGGAAAAGCATGCACCTCAGACACAAGCAATGCTAGCTAGCTAAATAGGAAGTCCATGTGTATTCCTCCACACTCTGAAAAATATTTGAGCCTAGAAGCTCTGTGGTGCAAGCTTTTATTATTTCAGCTGCTATTTAGGTCATCTTTTGTATACTTTTATTGTACATAACTACTTGTAGACAAAATAAAATAATGCAGAAATTTTCAATGGAAATATAACATATATGTTATATTTCCATTGAAAATTTCTGCATTATTTTATTTTGTCTACAGACATCACACATGAATTGGGAATTTAATATTATAAATACATATATATATATGTATATATAATATTAAATATCAAAATCTCAATTCATGTGTGATGTCTGTGACAATTCAGCACATGTCCCCCTGTCCCTAAACATATTTATCAACTCCTCTGGCTCCTCAGCATCCAAGACCATATAATCCTTTTCGAACAAGTACTGCTTCCTTTGTGAAAATCAATGTATTCCCTGAGTGATGAAATGTTCTCACAATTTATATAGCCCATTCTGGTTGCTAGTACAATAATACAACCAAGTATAAGTACGTTTATAAATACTCAGTACAATTGTTCGGAATGAAATGTTCTCACAATTTATATAGCCCATTCTGGTTGCTAGTACAATAATACAACCAAGTATAAGTACGTTTATAAATACCCAGTACAATTGTTCGGAATGAAATGCTCATGGCCAGATTGGTGAAAGAGGATGTGTCGGACGTCACAGATTTGGCTCCAGTTTTACTTAAATAAGATATAGCTGATATCTTTTGCAGGCCCCTCTGAATCTTGTTTCATGTCATTTGTCTATATGATGCTGCGTTATGGGACATCTTGTTTCAGGAAATGCCATACATGTGCTTTTCATTGTCCAAGTCATTAAAGTGTTTGTTTCAAATAAAAGTTACATAATAAGGATTACTTCCCCGTGATAGATAAAGTCACATTGATGCTTGGCTATTCACAATTACATCACAGATTTTAAATCACAATCTAACAGGCGCTATTTGTTTGTGGTTATTAAAAAATATTTCCACACAAAACAAAAGATAAATAATATTAAAACAGGGAACTTTTTTATGTGATCAAGGGGCCCCAGGAATATTATAACCATTTTTTCAATTTCTGTTGAAATATACTCATCATGTTGTCAATGGGATTGGGAACACTACTGTTTTTTCTAAGGGAGAATTACTGGTGAACTGTAGTATTATAACCAGGAAAATCACTGACATTCTGGTGCTGTGACATTAATCCTATCATTTGTTTATGACAATGCAACTGGCCATGGCAAGTTGGGGCTTATACTGAGGTACCAGGCTGATCAAACCTAGGATAGAAATGGTCTGAATATAACATTTCTGAAAAAACTACTATGTACTAACAATAGTAAGCTTGGTTTCTTTTCATCAGGTGACATTGGGAATTACTACTATGGCCAGGGACATCCCATGAAGCCTCACAGGATACGCATGACCCACAATCTCATCCTCAATTATGGACTCTACAGGAAGATGGAAATCTATGTAAGCGACTTATTCAAATGCTGTCTATAAGAACCAATCTGCTTTTACTAAGGCTTAAAAGGAAGGGTTTCCTCTGGCCCAAACACCAAATTTTAACACTTTGAGTGTCAGAGAATTCCCGCTGCAAACATTCATCTGTCAAAGATTGACAGATGAATGTTTGCAGCTGGAACTCTCAGACACCATTTGTTGTTCAGTTGTAAAGTCTTTTGGATGCTGTCAAAAAAATCTGCTATGCCAAACACTTGCAGCACCTTTTATGAATAATGAGTAATTCATTTGTCCAAAACCATCCATTTAGTTCGAATTCCATTCTGTCTGCATATATATATATATATGAAATAGACGGTTATGAAAACTGATGCCATTGTTTGACAATTATCAGCTGTTTGATATCGATTTAATATTTTTAATGGACTAGTTATGGTTTTCAACCATTTTCAGTTTTTAACATAAGTGAGCATATTTAACATTGTCACAATGCAAGAGTGAGTTCAGTTCATTTCAAACTTTTCTTTCAGAACTTCGGCCTATATTTCACCTGTGACACATACATTATTAGAATTACCCCTTCTCCTTGTGATGTTGCATTTTGTCTTTACAGAAATTTTGCACTATTGTTTATGAGTTTTCATGATCAGCTGCCTGTAGCCAGAGGTGCAGAAACTGTTCGTAAGTCTGGCTTACAGCTGTTCTTGTGTAAATTATACGGAACGTTTGACTGGATTGCTAATGAATATGTTTGACCAACAGAGACCCCACAAAGCCACACAGGAAGAGATGACTAAGTTCCATAGTGACGATTACATCAAGTTCCTGAGGAGCATCCGACCAGATAATATGTCTGAATACAACAAACAGATGCAGCGCTGTAAGTTCCTTTCTTCAAGTATCTGCTGCCTTCACTTATGTTCCTTTGAAAAATCTAAAATTATTATAAATTCAAAGAAATAAGAAACATTGTAAAAACTGATGAATTCTGAGCGTTAAGATGTTTCATGCAAATATGGCATTTCAGCAGGGATATACACTTTTTTTTTCTAGTCCACAGAACTATTTAAATTTTCTGGTCTTAGTGTCTCTCTTTAGTCCAATCCCCACTTAATAAATATAAATGCTGCGCGGGTTCATACGAACCAGGAATGTACAATTTTACAAGCCCAGCATGTGGAGCTTGTAGAATTTATGTTGTCAGAGGCTAGTGAAAACGTTCATTATTTTTTTTGAAAATATTGATCCGACTGGAAATTCCAGGATAATGAGCCAGACTTTGATAACCATATAAACATGAAAATACTGCCACATACATGTATTCTGTCATTGTGTATTGCAGAGTTATCTTCTCTTGTGAACAGGTATTGATTGATATGTCATTGGTTAGTGTGAGAAAATTATGTTGTTTTCTCAAAAATTGATGACATTACTCTCACAAACAAATGATGTTTACAACAATCAATACCTGCTCTCAAGAGCAGATAACTCTTTAATACGAAAAGACGGAATATATGGATCAAAGAGAATATTTTTCCATTATTGCTGATTTTGTTTTAAAACCTATAGTAATTACCACGGTACAAATACAAATCCTTGATCACAGCCTTATGTTTGTGTGTTACTTATGAAATAGGATGTTTATCAGTTTTACTCTCAAGGTTTGCATAAATTTGTGTTTTGTATAAATTTGTCCAATTTTGATTTCTTACTTGTAATACAAGATTTGTTCTGTTTTACTTGGAAGTTGTCAGACATGAAGAAATTTCACAAATAAGTTAGGGTGGTCGGGTGGCGCAGTGGATAGCGTACTTGCCTTTCACCAAGGCGACCAGGTTCGATTCCCTGATAGAAATGAAAAGGTATGTGGTCACAAGCTGCCTGACCACGTAGGTTTTCTCTTGGTACTCTGGTTTCCTCCCACATTAAGACCCTGCGCTTACAACCTGGCCAACAAGAGTGATTGATATCAGTTGTATAGTTTGTTTCATAATGGTTGTAAAATAAATAAAGTTAAATAATGAAATTGATTACTTGTATTTCCTTATTCAGTTCATTGTTTTTACACTATGTTTGGTTTGTTTTCCTTAGTCAATGTTGGAGAGGATTGTCCGGTGTTTGACGGCATGTATGAATTCTGTCAGCTGTCTACAGGGGGATCTGTTGGTAAGTTATAATTCCATTTAGCTCCTGCTCTTAATTTGACATTTCAGTGGTCCTTTTTAGTAATCTATACCGGTGTACACAGGCACACAAAAATGAGCGTACTCAAATATTTAATTTTATTGATATATATATACAATGTCTATAAATTAAATTGAAGAATCATTTATCATCATTTTTTCGAGAAGTTTGATTACTCAGACATTGAACAGTTGTTTAAATTTTAACATGACGATAATGTGTGTAAATGTTAGTTTCCCTATCATAATCTGTCATTGATTACCATATGGATCAATCAATTTTAGGTAGCTATCCAAAAAAGAAAATCCTCCCTATATCAATGTACGGTTAGAGAGGCGAAACAGATATATTGGTAGTCTTGTCCTAGTTTTCAAGCTGACTCTTAATGTCAATTTATCTTTTTTGCTTCTTTTATTGTCACAGCTGGGGCAGTTAAGCTGAACAAACAGGCATCAGACATTGCCATTAACTGGGCCGGAGGTCTTCATCACGCTAAGAAGTCGGAAGCTTCAGGATTCTGTTATGTCAATGACATTGTCCTTGCCATTCTAGAACTTCTCAAGTGAGTTACTATAAATAGTTATGACGTCCCAGACCAGAGAGACGTCATAACTACTAGTATGTTTAACTGTACTATGTATTACAATATAAATGCAAATGACCAAGTCCATGGTGGAACCAATATTCCTGTATAAAATCGAAATTGTAATGAGTAATACAGACCACAAATTAACCCATGTTACAATACAGTATTACAAGTTTGTGTTATAATGTATTGGTTTCTTCTCCATGTTGTAACGTTCTTCATAGAAACAACAGAATGATGCACACAAGTGCTCGGCTTGCTTTGAAGATACATTCAGAGAGCAACTAAAAACAAAATATTTTGGTAACCCAGATGCACATTAGGGGTGAATACTAATAGCCGGAGAAATCTGGTGGAACAGACGGTGTGGGCATTACACATGTTACACTTCTTTTGTCTGTGTAGATATCATCAGAGAGTGTTATATGTGGACATTGACATCCATCATGGAGACGGAGTTGAGGAAGCTTTCTACACCACCGACCGTGTCATGACTGTCTCATTTCATAAGTACGGGGAGTACTTCCCGGGCACAGGTGATCTCAGGGTAGGTCATCTATCATCAATACGGAGATAATTACTTCAGCATTAAACTGCTTACAGATGCGGTTCATAGGCACTATGAATGCCCACAGCATTACTGGAAAATGACATGCACTGCATCGGTTCGGTTCTTGTCATTTTCCGGTAATGCTGTAGGCATTCATAGTGCCTATGAGTGGCATCTGAAAGCAGTTTAAAATTTAACATTTTCACAAACTTCTGCTTTAGAAAAATCCAACCAAGTCAGCTTCTCACTCAAAAATTCAAAACGAGAGTCAATCATTACACCCGTATTGTTAGCTAACTTTTAGGTTAGGTTTATATTACTACCTCGTTGGGTTTCTAGTATTGGGTTTACATTTAGTGAAATTGCAGCCCAAATGTAAATATTTTCCAGATCTGTACTTGTGACCTCAATATAGGTCATATTTTACAAATATCAAGAGATTAATTTTTAAGTGTTTATGATAACAGGGTAGGTCACAAACATAGGGAGTACTTCCCAAGCACTGGTGATTTTGTGTAATTTTTAACAACACTATTTCATACCTCGATAATATTGTGAAACAATTATACATTGCTTTTGACAGCGCTTGAGGGTAACAATGTTTCCAGTATAAAATATTGTAAAGGATACATTTTTTGGGGTACATACTTGTGACTATAATATTTATCCAATCAGCAAACAGAATTCCGATACCTTTACAAAACGTATGTTTATGTTTGTTTTCTATTGTAGGATATTGGTGCAGGCAAGGGAAAGTACTATGCAGTGAACTTTCCTCTTCGGGATGGCATTGATGATGAATCATATGAATCTATATTCAAACCGGTATGTTTAAGATACATATGTAGCATATATTATAAAAAAATAAACTTGTCTATTGCTGAATCCTGAATAGCGCTAGGACTTGTATAAAGGAAAGTGATATATGGTACTATCAAGTTATCACAATCTGTGCTCACTCTAGGCAAAAACTCATTGAACCAAAAGTTGCTAAAGGCACTATTTTCGTTGAGCAAATGAAGCATTGTAGCAACATTTACTTACGCAATATATGTCTATACAGTAATTGGATGGTGAAATTATGTGGTAATTTATTTAATATATAAATTTTGCATTTATTTATACGAATATGGTCAGTGGTCAAATATGTTTAACTGATCTAATTCTTGTTATTCATATCATAACGTGTTTTTCTGTTTTCTGCATTTGGAAATAATGAACAAATATTGAAGAAACTAAAAAAAACAATTACTTTGAAGAATTTCAAAGACCAACTTCACACAAACCTTAATGACATTGACATATATGTTGTCTATTGTACAAACAGGTGATGACCAAAGTCATGGAGATGTATCAGCCGAGTGCTGTGGTGTTACAATGTGGAGCAGACTCCCTGTCTGGTGACAGACTCGGCTGCTTCAACCTCACACTAAAAGGTAGGACTAGTTTCATTTGTTCAAATGTTGGCTTATATAGCTGGTGATTTATTAACAGAGATGTACTGTATGATGATAAATTGTATATTGAAGTTGAATTTGTAAATGGATGCAGACCATTGAATATGACATTTGTTTTAAGTTTTTCTCCTATAAAGTAATTATCCACAAAGTTACTCTATAAAAGACCAAAGCTCATAAATATAAAATGTTATATTCACAGTTATCTCCCTTGTATTACAGGTCATGGAAAGTGTGCCGAGTTTATGAAGAAGTGGAACCTGCCTCTGTTATTGTTGGGAGGAGGTGGTTACACCATAAGGAATGTGGCCCGGTGTTGGACTTACGAAACGTCTATAGCTCTCGGAGTAGAAATAGCCAATGGTAAGATTCTGTCATAGACAAGTGGCCCGTTGTTAGTAGAAATGGCCAATGGTAAGATTCTGTCATAAACAAGTGGCCCGTTGTTAGTAGAAATGGTCAATGGTAAGATTCTGTCATAAACAAGTGGCCCGTTGTTAGTAGAAATAGCCAATGATAAGATTCTGTCATAGACAAGTGGCCCGTTGTTAGTAGAAATAGCCAATGGTAAGATTCTGTCATAGACAAGTGGTCCGTTGTTGGACTTATGCTCTCGGAGTAAAAATAGCCAATGGTAGGATTCTGTGAGACAAGTTACACATTGTTCTAAGAGTTACTCCAGAAATAAGGTAAGGGGAAGTAAGCACTGTGGCCTACTCACCCATAACGTAATGGAATTATTTTCATTAGGCCGACTTATTATCAATTATGTATTGTTGAGGTGAATGTGTGGTTATATGGATCTGAGAAAGTGACATTGACCAAAAGGAATTTGAGGTCAATATAACTTTTTCAGGTCCATATACCCATATGTATATTGGAATTTTTATCATTTAAATCAATAGAACGTATGAAAATTGTAAATAGAAATGTATTGCATTTCACAGAGAGCCTTTGTGACTTAACAATTGCAGTAAAGCCAATAAAGACAATATTAAAAAGCTGCTTTTAAAAATAGTAACACCAAGTCATAATCACAAAACACTGACCTCCACGTGATAATGAACAAGCTAATGAGGATTTGGAAAAAGTTGTGTGATCTAATATTAAATATTTCAGTAACAGGTAGATCCATAATATAGTTTCATTTAATGAAAATATATTAAAAGCAACAATAAGTCATTCAAGGCTTGTTACTTTCTTAAGATCTGCAGTCATTTGTCATGAGTATTAAGTTATTTACCCTAGGTTTGAAATTATCTTGTTGATTTTCTTTTTCAGAATTACCGTACAATGACTACTTTGAGTACTACGGACCTGACTTCAAACTACACATCAGTCCATCAAATATGGCCAATCAAAATACCGGGGAATACATGGACAAAATCAAGTATGCAAATCTGAATTGAACCACAGAATATATTATTATTAAGTTATTTGAGAAATTCATAATGTTTTACAAAACTTTATAAAAAAAATCAACTGCATGTTAAAATGAGTTGATGAAAATTTACAGTGACTTTCACTTTGAATTTTAAATCAGTAAATTAATTCCTTTTTTTTGTGATTGTCAGTTTGGCAGACCTATTTACCCCCTTGCATGTCGCATATTACCACTTTTGATACCCATACTACTTCCCTTTGCATATATTGGGGGGGAAAATTGCATTCAACTTTTTCAAAAATTCAGTTTTTCTTAATCAAACACACACATGTGTAGTCCCTAAATTTCAAACAGGCTCAGAAAACTAGACAACTTGTCACTGGAAATTAGAACATGGAATGTCTGCCTGGCATAGAAACTATACATTTTGAGGAGATAAGCTACACATAGGGACTAAAAAAGGCTTAAGACTTGAGAGGTTGGTTTTGTACTGAAAATTACTGAATGTGCACTATATTTTATTTTCCAGAACAAGATTATTTGAAAACTTGAGGATGTTGCCTCACGCTCCAGGTGTTCAAATGTCAGGTAAGCAATGAGCTTTTTTTGTTTGATCAACCACTTCAACTTTCAAGTCTTCAATGACCATTCTCATACTATGATGTTCTTCAAAGGTTTAAGTAGTCCATATTAAAATCTGTATAAAAAGATACCTGTATGATGATGGTTTTATATTGTCCCAATTAAATATACTGTACTCTCGCTTAATATTCTATCAACATGTGTAAAGTTGATTGTGATGTTAAAGCAATCTTGTATCCACACTTGCACTTATTTGAATCAATTTAAAACTGAATTTAAATTCCGAAACAGCCATTCCTGAAGATGCTCTAAACGACGAAAGTGACGATGAAGACAAAGAAAATCCAGACACTCGAGTCTCCATTAGAGCAAACGATAAGAGAATCGCTTGTGATGAGGAGTTTTCTGATAGTGAAGATGAGGGAGAGGGAGGGAAACGTGACCGACAGAACTATAAACCCAAGATGAAGCGACCTCGCACCGACGACGAAAAGAAGGAAGGAGAGAAAGGTAAGACGACAAAATTAGTGTAAAACCTTCAAAATGTCTGAAGTAGTCAGGTTATGAGATCTGATAGTACAAAGTACAGGAGTGAGCTTAAGTTTTGGTGTTTTGTCCATTGTCTGTGGTATGTCAACCCTTGCATTTAATAAATTCCCATTAAACCTCATCAACTGCTGAGCAGATTTCATCCAGCTTCTTTCCAAAGTCCAAATCAAATAATGATGAAAGGGTTGTTGCCACCTTGGGGATGAGGGGTAGGTTCAAAAGGAGTAAAATTTATTGATTTTCTTTAAATGACTTCTCCTCCAAACCCACTGTCAGAGCAGATTACGATCAAATCGTGTTGGTAGCATCTGAAAATAACAAATAAAGTGGCTAACAGTCCATGATTCCTAACTACCAACAGTTTAGGAAAATAGCCAAATGACCAACTCAATGACCTTCGTTCTCCTATATAAATCAACCACTTAAAATCAATGAAAATCAATGTAGTTGCAGTGATCATCTTGTGTTTTGCCAAAAGTCACCATTTAGCTGGTTTACATAAAATTACCCTTGAAGAAAAGCTTTGATTTGTACATGAAACTTTCTACGCAAACATCTAATGTATTACTTATCTTTTACCAAATCTGAAATCAGCATGCATTTGACAGTTGACCCATCCTCTTCCATGGAATTCTTGTATTTAGGGATTACTTTATATAAATTTGGGAATTATTATGAGTTTTACTGATCATGAACAAGGGGTATTATATTAAAGTTGAACACTGTATGTATTAAATGAGGAGTCACTATATTCTATCAAAATACAATTCTAAATCTCTGTGAATATTGTTATTTAGATGCTAAAGAGCCTAAAAAGGATTCACCTGCCGAGAACAAAGAGGAACCAGCAAAGGCAGTGGCCGAAAAGACGTGAGTTGTTGTTTTGAATTTGACTAATAATATACAAATTAAGGAGTAATTTTATCAGTTAATTAACAAACTGAGGGATAATGTTCAAAAAGATATTGAGAAAATATGTCAAAAAAAATAAAAATATATACAATTGAAGTTACATAATTAAGTGGCTTTGACTTTAATATGTGTTGAGCTATATGTTTTTTATAAATTTTACTACTTTAAAACTGAAAGCAATTTTCATCCTTTCCAGCGAAGAGAAGACCGAAACAGCTGAGAAGAAAGGTATGTATTATTAGAATGCTGAAGCTGGAAGTGACATTGAAATTCTAAAGCTCCCCATGAGTTGTAAGAAAAAGTCATATGCGCTGTAGTTGGAAATCATTGAAGTGAAATTTCATCGGAACAATCTTATTTCATTTGAAACCTATTAGTATTTGTAAAGAATGGATTTAAGTTAAGTCAGCACTTCACTTAGATATAACACTGAACACATGATTATATCATGATATCAGTGATGAGCAGTAAAGGCAGAAATAATGGTATCAGTAAAATCTTATATCATTGGAAACATTCCTGATACATTCTGAAAAGGACATCAGGGCCGTTTTCATTTAAATGGTTGAACCGGTCAGACCACAGTTGTTCGTTTTTTAAATAATTTAGAAATCTGATGCTGCTTTCAGGCGAGCCTTGACAAAACTTTGCAAGGCCTGCATAAACATTTGCTGGCCCCGAGGATTTATACCTGAAATTGTTATATTTAAAAACGGCCAACCCGTTGTTCCGCATAAACGAACAGTTCCCTGCAGGTCTTCAATGAGTCAAAGAAGTGTTTTCTTTTTTTTTATGTAAGTGAGGCTTCACTGAACTTTAATGAAACTGCAGAACAAGTTTTATGATCTATTTTCTTTTACCACACTACCAAGAAGAAAAGTTTTCTCTGACCATTGTCCAGTCTTTGTTGTCGCCATCTTTTACTTCATGCCCTTAAGTCTTCATTGTGATGTAACAATGCCATGATGTCGTGTTTGTTACCTGTATAACATGTATTCATGTGATGAATATAAATATTATCGATAGCCTTACCTATACATGAAAACTACTTCAGTTACTGACAAAAAAACATTGTTATTTTGTAGAATCTGTGACACCCCCAAGTAAACCGGAACAGCCAGCGGAGACAAAGGAGGATACAATAAGCGCGACTAAGATGGAACATTGACCAACCGTGACCATGGACCAACCGTGACCTGACGTGTGTACACAGTGGAGCAGCCAGACATTGCTGTTAACATTTGATCCACCAAGAAAGAACAGTGTTCGGTGTCCTTGACAGTGACTGATGATATAGACCCGACTATTTGTGTGGACGATCAACAAATGACAGATGTGTTTGCTGCAGATTCGGCTATAGTTGTGTGGACTGTCAACAATTAATAGCTTGTTGTGTGTGCTGCAGATTCGGCTATAGTTGTGTGGACTGTCAACAATTAATAGCTTGTTGTGTGTGCTGCAGATTGGCTATAGTTAGAGATTACGAACTTAAGCTATTCCTAATACAACAGGTAGAACGCGGATTGAGTTTTGGAATCGCTAACAGTATATGTGAATGTGTTTCCGTGTGAGTTAGAGGGTGTGCTAGTATCATTTGTATCGCGACTGGAGCAGAACTCCGTTCATTTAATGTTTCTCATCAGAATATTCATATTCATCCTAATGTCAGTAAACTTTCCAAGCCTGTGTTTAAATTGCAGTTATTATATCAGCTTCAACTTGACATACTGTGAAGGCATTTATTTTGTGGGGAATTTATTGTTATTGACTTTATGGACACATGGTAATCCAGGGCAGTTTTCGTTTAATCGGTCAAACCGGTCGGACCACCGTTGTTCGTTTATTAAATAAGGTCGGACCAAGTAATCTGGTGCTGCTTTCAGGCGAGCCTTGACAAAGCTTTGCAAGGCCTGCATAAACATTTGTCTAATAGAAATGATGAAGCCTTTTATACGAGTCCGTGACATGCAATTTATTCTATTCAAATGATTTGTTTCAGTACCATGCTGTTTGCTACACTTAGTTTAAGGTACGCCACACAGTTATACACTAGCAATCAATGTTAGTACATCTACTGATTAAGAATTCAGTACATGTACATGCATGGGCCTGGCTGTTTATGTTTTTCTCAACATTTGACGTGTTACTCAAGATTTGAATGTTTACATTCATATTAATTAAATCTTCGAGATGACTTTTCTGTGAATTTATGTCCCTATAAAAAGCAGTAATATAATTTAACAGTGAATTGGGATGTTTCATTAATGACACTGGACTTTTGGAAGTCGGATCTTCCATCATGTACATAGATGTATTTATTGGTGCCTGTTTAGCATAGAGAAGGGTGGGAAAACAGTAGTATGGTATTTTCATGTAATTGCATTCAATTTTCGTCTTTACCATACCCCTCACCTAGTGTTCAAATAAGTCATTTTGTCAATAATGTCACTAATTCACACTTTTCAGTTTCTGAAAACCAAGTTAGTAAAACAGGATAACTCAGAAATTTCACAGAGAAATATCAGGATACAATACATCATCAATATTTTTTTAGGAATTAAAGATGGTGACTTTAAGATTTGAAAGTCTTTGATGGTAGAAATGATTGAGAACAATCCGGTTTTTTTATGATCACACAATAGTGTTCCTCCATCATTAAAGTTGCTCTTAAAACCAATGGTTTGTTATTTTTGTCTCGTTTGAAGTACAGAGGTCTTAAATTGGGAATAAACTATTTTTCATTGCTGAATGTTCTGATTTATTCTGCTAAATCAGGAATATTCCTCTGGAACATAATTGATGAACAATACATTTGGAAGATACTGTATTTCATGTAATATAAAAAAAAAAGGGTTTTGAGACTTTAATATTTGGTGTATATTAGGATAACTCAAACACATTTAGCTACTAGTAACTTGTGTAGAGCACATTCCTTCCTTTAGGTTTGGTTTGGTTTTATTTTGTTTAATGTTATCAACAGCCAATATCGTTTAAGGACTGTCTATGTATGTGTTTTGTAAATGTGCTGGAGGAGTTGGGGTACTTGCCTCCCTGTCATAGTGCAGATTTAATGCCGACTTTATAATGCTATCTCAGGTAGCAGTGTACAGTAGAGGGTTGTGGCCATGGGTGATATTTTTGTTAAATGGCTAACCCCTGTATAATGATATGTAAAAAAAATATAAAAATAAAACTGTACTAAAATTGGTATAAGCATGATGAAGTGGGCTATGTGAGCTTCACATTTGTAAAAAAGAAAGAAGATTTCTTTGGTTCGAGAATAAAATTTTGGCCATAATACGAAAGGGTGCGTACACATGAAAAGCTAGCTTTACAGGAGGTAAAATTTTGACAACAGCACACGACGCAAAATTGCAAAAAATCAAGTTTTACAACTTTACTGGGACCCAGATAATTCTGCAACCAGGTAGGTAATCTTTAATTTCAGACAGAGCTTAAGAAAAAAATTACTAGTTGCGGGGGTCAAATTTTGGGTTAAAAATAGCAATTTTTGGCATTTTTTGGTAATTTTTGATGTGGTAACCATGGTTTTCACACAAGTGACATACATAGAAAAAAGAGGTTTATACACTTCTCAGTACTTTATATGTATTGTAAATGTAATGCAGTTTACAAATATATATACATGTATACATGTGTTGTGTAGGGTAAATCCGCTGTGTTTACATTTCCTCGACATGTGCCTTGTTTATCAGAGTCGGGCCATTTCTACTGTATTCTGCTACCTCACTGAAAATACCATGCTGAAGGCACCCAGCACAGCATTCCCCCCGGTCACATTATACCGACAAAGGATGAACCAGTTGTTGTCATGGCCCTTAATGCTGAATGATAAGCAGGGAATATCAATTACCATTTTAAGGCCTTTGGTATGTCCCAGGACAGAACCCATTGCCTTCCTCACCTGGGCAAACGTCCAACATTAAAGCCAAAAGTGAGGTGTTGCCAAACAAGGTGCTAGGAAACGTAAGAAGTAGAAAGAAACACAAATATCCCAAATATTGTATACGAAATGGGTACAGCACATTTATTTTCGTCGCTTTTGTGACCCCTAGTAAGGGGCACAAATCCAAATCCGCAATTCTTCAGGGTTTCCCACATTAGTTTCCGCTTACGATCATGCAGTTGGTAACAGTAGGTGTATTATTTTCTCATTCCCCAACCTGCAATATGTACTGTGACCATTGTGATTCCCCAACCTGCAATATGTACTGTGACCATTTTGATGAGGATAGAATTATCTTAACTTCTTGAAGATGCATACAGATTCCAGTTTTGTCCATTAGTCCTAGCTGCCACCTTACGTGTATCTGGCAACCCAAAACAACCTGGATGTAACATATATCTGTGTGTGTGGAATCGGGGAAATTCAGTAGAGATATATAGGTAAAGGGTTTCTGAAAAGGGCAAGGACCAAACTTATATGTTTCCTTAGAGGTAGAGTTTACATGCAGGACAAGATCTAAACCTGAAATGCTCGGGAGACAAACACAATCTGATATATACAAGTCTGATGGCTGAAGGGCCGGAGAATAGTCCATATTCTTTGAAGTATGACTAATGCAGTACAAATTGAAGGTAGAAAAGATCTTATGAACCCTGTGAAATTATTCTGTGCCAATTTTCGTGGAAGAAATGCAAAATTATTGGTAATTTTCTTGTAGTCTATAGTTCTCAAACTTGAAATGGAACATTCCCACTGAGACCAGTTGGCAAGAAAACACTTTTCTAGGTCATAGGTCAAATGTGTTCACATCTTTAGGTTACTTCTAGAGATTCAAAATGCCTAGTTTAATAAATGACTTGTATCAGTCGGAGTTTAAGTGCTATCAAATGTGTTAAAATTAATGACCTTGACCGACTTTCCAGGTCCATGGGTCAAATATGTTAGAATCTCCATACTACTTATTAAAAAGATTCTTAAATTTTTTAGGTAAAAACTTGTGTTGCTTTGCTGGTTTAAAAAGCTATTTAGTGTACCTGAATTATATTACCTTATTAGGTCAACGAGCATTGTATGTTTTCTAAAGTTCCAAAAGGCCTCGCTCAGTAATATTTGACATATAGCTTGCTGGGATAATACCTATATGGCATGCATGTATATTGATAAAATTAGATTTAATCTTGCACTTTTCTAATTCTACTACGAAAGATATCGTTTTTTAGCTCACC